CTTGGGCCCCTGCACCCACGTGGGAGACCAGGGAGAAACACCTGGCTCCTGGCTTTGAATTGCCGCAGCTCCAGCCATAGCAGCCATTTGGGGAGTGAACCAATGGAAGGTAGACCTTTCTCTCTGTCTCTCCCTCTCACTATCTGTAACTCTGTCTCTCAAATAAAATAAATAAAAATCTTTTTTTTTTTTTTAAAAAAAGTGTAGACCGGGGTCTGTCATGTGGTGCCGCAGTTAAGTCACCTCTTGTTATGCCTACATCCCATATCAGACTGCCCAGGTTCAAGTCCCAGCTCCACTTCCATTCCAGCTTCCTGCTAATGAGCACCCTAGGAGGTAGCTCAAGTACTTGGTTCCCTGACACCCATGTTAGAGACCCAGACTGAGTTCTGGGCTCCTGCTTTGGCACTGCCCAGCCCTAGCTATTGTAGGCATTTGGGGAGGGAACCAGCAGGTGGAAGATCATTCTCCATCTGTCTCTGTTTCTCTGTTTTTCCAATAAAATGAAAATAAATAAAACTTTTACAAAAGAAGAGTGTGTATACCAGTCAAAATTCAAACAACTTTTTGATAAAGTATCTTTTTTCTTTAAAATACTGTGTTTTGTCTCAGTGATTTCTAAGAATTGCTTTAAATGCCATCTTCTTCCAGATTGCCATATGCTGGATCCAGTTCTGTATTGCCATTTTATTTGCCTTCAACACCAGTGTTTTTCCCTTTCTCCCTATGAGACTTGCTTTTATTTATTTGGTGGGTTGTTCTGTTTCTCCTGCATCGTGGAAGTAGTTCACATTATCCTGTTTGTTTGTTCATCAAAGCAGGAGGAGCCAGAGCCCAGTTAAGTGCATCAGGCCCAGTGTTCTTGGTCCTCTGAAGAGAAAAGGTATGCAGCAATATGCTGGCAATCATTGATGATAGCATTTTATACCCTTGAAATTTGCTCAGAGTAGAACTTCATTGTACTCATCACACAGAAGATATTGTGGTAATCATTTCACAGCATGTCCATATATCAAATCATCACATTGTACACCTTATGCTTGACAGTATACCTCAATAAATCTGGGAAAGAAAGAGAAAATGTGGGCATCACCCTCATGTATTAAACCAAGCCAAGTTTGTATTAAAAAGGAGAATTCCTGGGGCCGACACATACGGGCTGCATCATGTCCTGACTGCTGCTTCCAATCCAGCTCCCTGCTAATGGCCTGGGGAAGAGCAGAGGAAAACATGCCCTGGTGTTTGGGCCCCAACTATCTATGTGGGAGACCCAGATGAAGCTTCTGGTTCCTCACTTTGGTTTGGCCCAGCCCCAGCTGGTGGCTATCTGGGGAGTGAACCAGAGGATAGAAGATCTCTCTGTCTCCCTCTCCCTCCCTCCCTCCTTCCCTCCCTCCCTCCCTCTCTGTCTCTGTGTAACTCTTTCAAAGTAAATAAATAAATCTTTAAAAAAAGTAGAATTCCTATCTGAAATTAGTTCATGACATCGCTTTCCTTTTTTTTCTAAAGAAATATGAAGTATTCTTCCCAATGTATGCTTTACTGATTATAAGTTATATATTTGTTATTTGCTCTTGTCTATATTTTCTTATACTTTGTGACTGAATATTCATATATTCGTATTATCCATATATTCCAAACATATTGCCTCTCAGTGATCCAAATGTAAAAAAACACACATTTGATATGTTGCAGAAATATATGCTAATATATTTCGATATGTATCTATAAACATGCTGTATGCTTAACTGTAATGTGAGATTTACTCCATCACAAATTATACCTTAGCAAAGTAAGAATTGCCTTATATTCAAGTCTTTAGAGTTTTTGATATAATGGGGTGCTCCTTTAATTACCTTATTTTGAACCACAAAGCACTAAAGTTTAGATCTCAGCCAGTGCTGGGTTTAGATGCTTATAGAGGTCACCTGATGGCATCTGTTTTTATTTTTTTTCCCAAAAGCAAAGAAACTTAACAGGTTAAGTAATTTCTATGGCTATGACCACATTATTTTAAGTGTTGGATATAGTATAAAACAAGAGGGTATTTTTTTGCTTTTTTTTTTTTTTAAGATTTATTTATTCATTTGAAAGGCAGAGTTACAGAGAGGCAGAGGTAGAAAGAGAGAGAAAGAGAGAGATTTCCATCCTCTGGTTCACTCCCCAGATGGCCACAAGGACTGGAGCTGTGTCTATCTGAAGGCAGGAGCCAGTAGCTTCCTCCGGGTCTCCCATGCAGGTGTAGAGGCCCAAGGACTTGGGCCATCCTCCACTGCTTTCTCAGGCCACAGCAGAGAGCTGGATCGGAAGTGGAGCAGCCGGGAAATGAACCGGTGCCCATATGGGATGCCAGCATCACAGGCGGCAGCTTCACCTGCTATGCCACAGCTCTGCTTCCCCCTCTTCTTCCCCCTCCCCCCCCCCCTTTTTTCTTTGAGATAGAGTTACAGACAGGGAGAGACAGAGTTCTTCCATCTGCTGGTTCACTCCCCAAATGGCCACAACAGGCAGAGCTGGGCTGATCAGGAGCCAGGAGCGTCTGGGTCTCTCACACAGGTGCAGGGGCCCAAGCACCCTGGCCATCTTCCACTGCTTTCCCAGGCCACATCAGGGAGCTGGCTCAGAAGTGGAGAGGCCGGGATACAAACTGCGGCCCTTATGGAATGCCAGTGCTGCAGGCAAAGGCTTAGCCCACTATGCCACAGTGCTGTTTTAACAATAACTTTAAAATAAATTAAGTAAGTGGTTTCTTTGTGCAAATCACCTTCTGGGCCAATAGACAACTCTCCTTATGTCAAATACTTACGCATTTGGTCAATACTTTCTAGTCACAGATCACAACCAGATTAAAACAGTGGTGTATTTCAGACAACCTAAAATTAAAAGTAGTATGCTCTATAAAAACAGATCCTGACATAGTGACTGTATTTGTATTTTCTGAATGAGTTTTATTTCATAAACAGTTTTTTTCTTCAATCTTGCAAAGAGTTATAATCCTAGGAATGTTCTCAGAAGCTATTAAGTAAAAATAACTTTCAGAAATAAAGCTATTATTATGTTGTTAACTTAAAATTTGTTGTGGAAGTTGATGGAATCAGTATGGTTGCTTAGTTTCATAGCTATTCCGAAATATACCAGCAGATGGAGGAATTCCTTACTAAAAAGGGCTAAATTATGTGTCTTGTGAAGTGGAGTTAAAAGGCTGGTCACAGCTTTTAAAAGCTGTGTATTAAAGAATGGAATAAGCCAATAAAAATATAACTTTTCTTGACTTGCAATAATTTTCAGAATAGCTACAAAGGAAACATAATCTGAATTAATTGATGATATGGAAAATTAATGTTAAATTTATTCTTGCTTGATCTTTTTCCATGGTAACAGTCTTTTACAGATTTCAGTTCAGAGTCACTGATTTCTTCCTGGAGTACCGTATAGATAGACTTATGAATTAAATTGTCTTTAACACTCCGTTTTCAAGCTTAGATAGTGAACTTTAGTCTAACACGCTCCCAGCTGAGTTACTTCAGCAACTGCTAGTGAACTTCAAAAGCAAGAGATATGCATATCCTAAATAAAATCATAGCTTAGTACAAAAAAGAATTACAACTTTAAGTAGTTGATAGGAAAATATTAATCATTATTCCTGTTGGTGCAGAGTTTTTCTATTACCATTTCTGAGAAAATCTATAGGTTTGGGGTTGCCAGTCTAATGCCAGTTTTTTTAATTGAATAATTATTTTCAATTACAAAGTTGCTTTCAAGCTTATATTTTTAATCTTCATTTTCACTAAATAGTAAAAGCAACACCTTACATTTATACTGTTTATCATTTTATATCATTTATACTGTTTATGCATTTTCAAATTTATTTGATATCATCTCAGGAAATGTTCACGTATTAAAATATATGAAATCAGTAGTAGTGGTCACCGTGAGCTTCAGCCGCTTGGGAATTCTTTAGTTCTGCTTTTAGTTTTGATTTACTCTGCCTAATGCATTCAACTTCCTTTTCTTTTAAAGAATCTATATACCTACCTATCTAATCTCCATGCCTAGATGCCTAGTGTGCTCCATTAAATGAATGGTGTTTTTTTTTACGGCTATAGACTTTTCTGTTGAGTTTATGTGAAAGTATAGTTCTTCCACATGGGAGGATAGCTTTTAAGTAGGGGCTTGAAGGAGTGTTCTGAGCTTTGGCTAAACAAAGAGCACCCCATTTTAGCACCAAGCCTGTATTTGTAAAATTGCTTCACGGTAGCATCATCATCTTCTCTTTTAGGTGAAATGGAGACGGAGAGCCAGCCCAAGAGACTCTTCCAAGGCACTACCAATATGCTGTCTCCAGATGCTGCAAAATTGTCTGATCTCAGTTCATGGTAAAAAAAATGAATTAAAATCAAAAGGCCATTAGGGTATGATCCATTTTTAAAAAGCCATATCAGAACTGTATTGGAATAATTTAAAACATTGTCATCTTTTTATCCATGTCCCACAGAGGGGAAATCTCAGTGGAAGTATATAGATAATTTTTTTAAAATATAGGTTATTTTAAAGTCATGCATACTTTCTGTGGAAATATGTGTATCTTTTTGGCACTTTTACTTCCATTCCTAGCTCCTGTTATTTCAGTCTGTCAACAAATGGAGTGGTATGGTAGTGTCAGTAACCGGATGCTGTGAGAACAAGTCTCTGGTTGATGTGGGTAATGTACATTGATTGTAGCTGCTCTGCCTGCATTTTCTCTAGCCTTTGGACTTGGCAGAAAAGGCAAGCATTCTTTTAATTAAGCATGTCATTGTTTAGTGCATTATATGTTGATGTAAAATCTTTATCAGAATTTAGATGTATTCCATCACAGTACAAACTAAGGTTTCATTTTTATAGTAACACTTCCTAATTCTTAAGGTCCCAGTCACACAATTGTTTTGTTTTTTCAGTCTTACTCGTGCTAGTTTAGATCTGTAACTTGAGGGCCCTCAGTGCTTTCGTGAGAAAGTTCATTTCTTTTCCTATACCTGAAGTTGAGCACTTTGTATGTATGCTGACATACATATTGAAAGGAAGAGGAAAGGATAGTGGCAGCAAGTAGGTAGAATTTTTAAATGTTCTAGAAACAATTGTGGAGTGCCTTTCAGAACTTTTTTTTGTTCCTTGAGTTTTGTGAGTGAAGGTTTTTTTTTCTAAAAGCCCACACAGGCACTCACTTCAAAAACAGAAGGCTGGTACTCTCTAAGTGGAAGTAGTGTGTAAGCCGCTTACGAAAGTGTAAGGGTTGATGATTCCTTCAGCCAAATTCACTTATTTGTTGTTTTATGTAAAGTAACCTGTGCTTCTAGTTGACCAAGAAGTCACAGATTTTCGTTTATTAGACTTGTTGGTCAGTACTGTTCTAAAAGGCACATGTTCCAAGTTTAGATTGTTCTAGATCTGTTCAGTCCCACAGTCACTCTTCCCTCGCATCTTTGTCTTTGCTTGGTAGCATGGTGTGCTAATTTTCTAGGGTGTCTTTCGAGGTATGTAGATGCTTACAAAGAGAAAACTTCTGAAGCTTGTCAAGAGGACTAGTGGGTAAAACTCTATACTTAGTGGAAACTGCCTATCACTTTTATGGTAAAGTGTGTTTGAATATAGGCACACGACTAGAAATAGCCTTGCTTACCCAGTTACTAACCAAGTGACCAAGTGAAGTAGAAGGTAGAACGGCATGTTGCCAAGGTAAACATGTCCAGGGTGAGATGCCTTATTTTATGTTGACTATGCAGACTGCCATAAAACAGGTTCATACAAATAAGTAGGGAAGGGAAGGGAAGGGAAAGTATTTACCTGGATTCCTCCCTCCTTGCCCAGATGCTGACTTCTCTGAGCAGCAAAACCAAAACTGGACGGTGGTGGCGATCATGAGACCTGTTTCTGTTGCCACTAGTCCCATACCGCAAGGGGAATCAGCAACTGGCTGTGAGAGCCCTGGGAACATCGACATTGGCAGCGAAAGAAACTTTTAATCTGTAAACAAAAAGGGCTGTTGCTGCACGCAGTAGAGATTTGCTTTATTCCCAAGCCTCTCGTAGAGTACTACCAAGGCAGCGTGTGGTCCAAGTAGTCTTGAGAAAAGGAGTGTTACTCAAAATTTACAAGACTCTCAAAGACAGTCCAGTAATTCATTAAAGTTTCAAATAATGTTTTCAGTCAGTTTGTAGCATCTGTTCTTCTGAGGCTATTAGAGTTTAAAATTGCAGTAAGATTTTTGGGACACCTTATATACTAACGATACTGACATTTATGTCTACAAGTAAGATATTATAAATACAACTTACTCCTTTTTTGTAAAAACTGGATCTTGCTCTTGCAGAAATTTTCCTTTTGTCTCTTAAATGCAGTTTCATTGATCAGAATCAGACACCCGTGTTCTTAGAAATGAGGACAGAGACAGGAACCAGCTGCATTCTGATTTCTGTTGCCAAGGATAACAATCTACTTGATAATGCAACTAAGGAAACAGCTTTTATACTACCTTTTAGAGAAGAGAAAAGGGATCACATATTTAGTAGATGCTGTCTCATCATTTCAATTTTTATTTGTTCCTCTCCCATCCCACCAAGAAAAGATGAGACTTACAAACCTATAAATTAAACTTTATAAATTAGATAATCTCTGATGTTTGACATTGTTAAAGTATAAATTAAATTAGAATACAGACCCATTTGGAGTTTTTGTCCAGCTAGGCATAGTTTTTATTTCATCTTTTTTTTTTTTTTTTTTTTTTTTTTTTTTACTAACTGGAAATTCTGAAAGCTTTGCCAACCAAATCTGGGGAACATTGTGAACCACAAGGCAGGAATTAGAGCATTCTGCTTTTAGTCTTTATGAGCATTAAGAGTGTGAGCCTAACTCAGAAGTACACCTTTGCATGATGCTTTGATTCTGTTTGCATGTTGTGTACTGTGACTCGACTACCCATTCTCTTAGGAATCAGACTTCTGTATCTCCAGCATGCTGTGTAACAGAACTTTCGGGGATACTGACTATGCAGTGAAGCTGATTTGCTAATTTCTTTCTCTTAAAAGGAAAAAGTAGCCCATGAATTCTCTTGCCCAATGCATCAGTGACTTTTTTTTAAGAAAAAATTATTTATATTAATTTTGTTCAAAAGGTAGAGAGAGAGAGAGAGAAAGACGGAGTTCTCCCAACCATGGTTCACTCTACAAGTGCCTATAACAGCTGGAGCTGGGCCAAGGGGAAGCCAGGGCCCGGGAACTCAGTCCATGTCTCTCATGTGGGGGGCAGAGACCCAAGTAGTTGACCCATCACCTGCTGCCTCCCAAGATGCTCATTAGCAGAAAGCTGGAGTCAAGGGCCAGAGCTGGAACTGAACGCCATGAACTCCAATAGGGGATTCAGGCATCCCAAAGGAGCTTAATGCTGCTCTAAACACCCACTTCAGTGATAGTTTTATTTTAACTTTTTTGTAGCATTTATCTTAGTGGTTGTAACGTTATTTTTAATGTTAAATGTGCCACGCCAAAACCAAAAACACCTCATCATGAATATGTGATTGGTATAACATATAAGCTTGAATCATGATTTATTTAATAAATTATTAGGGGCATATTGATTTACTTCAGAAATGTTTAAGTAATTTAGACATCTGTGCTCATACTTTTACATTCCTGTCCTCAATGTGACTGTGAAAATGATCCTGAAAATGATCCTATTTAAATATGTGATCTGAAAAACTTAATGGTTATTTGGAAAGGTAATACTGGGCCCTCCTAAGGCGAGATAATGGAGGTCAGAGGTCATAGCATATATCTCACTTTAACCCATAGCAGGGGTTTGAAGACTACACCAAAATCTGCGCTGGGCTTAACAGCACTGTGACTGATTTCTAGTACATTTATCTGCCTGCCATTAAGCTAATAGAATTCAGCTTTTATTGACTGGACAAGGAACCAAGAGAATCAGGCAGATGGGATGATAACATAAGTCAAAATGAACATGCTAGTTTTGTTACCTTGTCGTTGGGATATATTTTTTTCTTAGATTGAAAGCTCTGCTTTAGCAGTCATAAGTAGTTTCATTTATGTACTTCAAATATAGCCTCAAGATGAATGAGTTCACTTTTGATTCAGGTACTCTTATGTCCAATGTGAGTTGTCTTGATCCTTTGCTCTTCTACTATTGTCTGACTTTTGACCATCAGTCTAAGGAGGGCTTTTTAGCACCTCCATCAGCGTTTGTGCTAGGAAAGAAAAAAGGCAGAAACTCAAATTGGACCAGACTACTGCTTTTCAAAGCTCTGGTAGAAGGTTTAATAGTGGAGTCTGTGAAAATTACTTTTATGCAGTGATCTATCTATGGATTAAAAAATCCTGTAAGTCTTGCTTTCAGTGAATATGACAACAGAGGGTGAATTATGACCTGTAGTCTGCTTCCATGCCCCTGTGCAGTCGTGCCAGATTAATTAGAACAGAAACTAAATTTTAGTTTAGTGCAAATATCTGGTTAAAGGTTTACCAAATTCTGAATCTTAATTCCCATGGAGACTAAATGCAAATATGCTATTTTTGTTAGTGACAAAATTATATACATTTATATTTAATGATAGAGAAGAAACTCTGAAATGAAGTGTTCAGGTTTATTTACTTTTTTCTAGTTTTCTCAGTAACTTCTCCATTAGCTTTTTTTCTCTTAAGGTAATCAACAGTTTTAGAAGAAATTTCACTGCATGAGTCATGTGTTGTGTTTTTGAATAAATACAAGATTCACCCAAGCAAGCAGGTCTTACTACAAATAGAATCTTTTAACCCAGGGCTCACTGTAAGTCTGTTGATTGGAATAAGGAATTCTTTATTTATATTCAGATTATCTGCTTGGTGGCCAAATTTTAATCTAAGCCTGTTTCTTCCTGCCAAGTAGCATAGAGCGTGTCCTTCGGCTGCCTGGCCAATATGTGCTTTAGGAAAGTAAATTCATTTTAATATTAGTCTAGGCAAAAAGCTGCAGGAGGAAAATTCACATATGTTCCAAAGGCAAATAGAAAGGTCTTTTGATTTTCCAATGTCTTGAATTATCTGTGCAACTTTCTTTCAGTAGTTTGAATAATTCATATTTTAGACCCATTTGCCATTGGGTTGAAAAAATATCAGAGCCAGCTAAATTTTCCAAGCTTTTTACTTAAAAGTGGTATTATTAATGATGCATTTGACAGCAGTGAGCGTAGAGTAGGAGCAGTGTGGAATATACTGTTTCCATTTTTATTTTTACTTTTCCGAAGCCTATTTGTAGTCTGTCTCCACCTAAAAACGGTCTACAGGCAATAGAAAGAAATGACATTTCAAGAAAAGTAGAAGGGTAGAGAAGCATAGGATGGGGGAAACTCACATTTCATTGAGGGTGGTATAGGGCCTTAAAACAACCAAATCTATCGTAGGTTACCTAACGCTGGATGTGTATTAACTTGGAAATTCAGAAAAATGATACGAAAGTGTCATAGCATTTGAACTCAGAGCATGTTAGATCAGGATGGCATTTCTTTTCTTTTTTTTTTTTTTTTGACAGGCAGAGTGGACAGTGAGAGAGAGAGACAGAGAGAAAGGTCTTCCTTTGCCGTTGGTTCACCCTCCAATGGCCGCCGCGGCTGGCGCGCTGCGGCCGGCGCACCGTGCTGATCCGATGGCAGGAGCCAGAAGCCAGGTGCTTTTCCTGGTCTCCCATGGGGTGCAGGGCCCAAGCACCTGGGCCATCCTCCACTGCACTCCCTGGCCACAGCAGAGAGCTGGCCTGGAAGAGGGGCAACCGGGACAGAATCCGGCGCCCCAACCGGGACTAGAACCCCGTGTGCCGGCGCCGCTAGGAGGAGGATTAGCCTAGTGAGCCGCAGCGCCGGCCAGGATGGCATTTCTTCAAAGAAGCTGGTGACCAAGCTTAAACTCAAACTCATATTTCCTGGTTCATAATTCCTTCTCCAATTCTGTGCTTTCTTTTAGAAAATAAAAAGTATATATGAATTCTGAAACTGCCTGGCTACATCTCCAGCTTTGTCTTTCACTGTTTCCCCTTTGCTGACTGTACTACAGTCTTAAGAGCCTACCTTTGGTTGCTAGAACCATCCTTGCTCCCTCTCAAACCTTACTTAATTAATGCCTGCCCATCATTTAGATTCCAGAGTAAATATCACCTCTGGGGAGCCTTGTCTTGTTCCTCCAGTGAGATCAGATTAGCCATATTGTAGACTCTCTTAGCCTCCTTGTATCTCTCCTTTGTTATTTGTATCACAAATTGTAATTATATATTTATTAGCATGATTACTTAAATGCCTGTCTCCTGCATTATGATATAAATTCAATGAGGGAAGGATTATATCTATATTATACACCATTGTATTTCCAGTATCTTGGTTACTTCTTGGACTTGGCAGGCTCTCAGTAAATATTAGAATAAGTGAATGAGTGGATTCAGGGCAAATACAGAGCCATAGAGCTTATGTATTGGATTGATGGGAATCAAAGCCAGAAGGACAGTTTAATGCCAAGTTGTGAAGGCTCTCAACTCCCTGCTGAAGTACTGAGCCAGATTTATGAGGCAGATCAGATTGGTTGCTGGGAGCATTGAGCACTTGGATTGGATGAGAAAGGTATCCCTAGGCTGGATTATAGAGGTTCTTGATGCCTAGACCAGGAACTTTAGTGGATAGATAGGAGCGCATAGAAGCCAGTTCTATGAATATATATATATATATATATATATATATATTCTATGAATATAGAAAATGATACAGAATATAAAAGAAGTATGGAACATTTGTTTTAGAAGCTTGACTGCAGAGTAACTAAAGGAATCGAAGAAAAGGATAGTAGGAAGACGAAGACCTTTGTATATTGAAAGCAAGAGGAAGGGAAATAGTTTAAGGAACTCATAAAATGATAAGAATATAAAATGCATCATTAGAGGGGACAATCAGAACAAAATGTGTGTGAATTAAAGGCCCCTTGGGAGTGGGGAAGTGGTTGGCTCTAGGGCAGTGGAAAGACTGCTTTGGGGTACAGGGTCTGTGCAGCAGTGTGCTTGATGGAATACTTCAGGTGGCCCAAGAATGGCTACCTCAGTAAATGACCCTTCCTCCTACTCCAAGCCTGATGGGAAGGTAAGAAGAGAAATACAGGATAGAAATCTCTTGAGCTGAAGGTAAGGGAGCACACTCACGCAAGTCATGGTGTGTCAAGTGGACCACTTACTGTGCACTGGGCAGTCTGGTGCCTCCGGGGATGAGGGGGTGGCACTCAAATGATACAGCACCTTGGGAGTCTTACTTTGGATCTCTGTGACTTGATGATTGCACGAGAATCTAAACATAGTACGTGATGTAGTTCATTGTTGTTGCTTTGATGCTTTTTATTATTTGAAATGTGAGCTCTGGAAACTGTTGTCGCATGTTGTGTTGACCCTGATAGATGCATTTGCTTATAATTCTTTTTGCTTTGTCCTCAGTTCTGATGTGTTGGATGGCAGTAGTAGCAGCAGTGGCTTGTCCTCAGACTCACTGGCTACAGGCAGCGCTTCCGCAGAGTCTTCAGTAGCATGCACCAATTCATGTTCTTCGTTCATCTTGATGGATGATCTCTCACCCAAGTGACTTAACCATTTCTGATTCCGTATTTGAAACTGCTGTTTCCTACACAGAACACTGAGTGAGGAACGCAGGGAACTTTGGTCCATACTGTGGATCAAAGTTTCAGATTTCCACCATTGTGGTGGTGGTATGTTTGGGCATCTCTAAAGTTCCACCTTGCAAATGTGGTGATCTTACTAACACCTGATTTTGCTGATCTGATTTTGGATCTGGTAACTGAACCTCAAAAACTCATGTTTGATTGCTTAGAGAATATATTTTTCTTAGTGCCTCAAAGAGCACCTGTTTTCAAGTCTAGACATTTGAAGAAGGCACTGATGTGTATTTTCTGTAATGGTTCTCTTCCCCAGCAGTGATATGACAGAGTTGATCAGAAATTCTCTTGCTTGAGAGATTTTTTTTTGTTCTCTGTTGACTACATAGTTTTCAGTCACATTGTTTCACAGTAATACACAAATTGCTTTGATGATATAATTTTTTTTCCTACATCAGCTTCAAGTACATTATTTTGTTTCCCTTTCCTGTTTGAGCTGCTTCCTTGCCATTTCTCACAGAGGTAAAGAAACACATAGTTGCTTTTCATTCCTACCTTGATTGCTTCCTTGTGTTGGAGTGTATGAAGTGAAGACTGGCTTTAGTGTTGAAAATGTTCGTAACTTACAGGACGCCTGTCTTAGTCATCCCAGGTTCTTATGACTTTGCTGCCCCCGTTGCTATTTCTCCCTGCAAATCTGTTGCACTAAGGAATATATAAAATATTGTTGATATTTCTAGGTGGTGTTATCAAGGAGAAGAAATTCCTGCCTTGACCAGATGTGTGGAGCATCTACAAATGAATGAATAATGTTATTTACACACAAACCACTGTGTACAAAAGCATCCACGGAGCTGTCAGTGTCTCGGGTGGTATTTTGAGGCCTCAGGTTCCTTGGGGTACATGGTTGTGCTGTCAGGGATGTATATCCTGAGGTAGGGTGCAAAGGGGGCTTTATGTGTGTGATTGCCACATACTGTTTCAGTCGCTGCTTTTTTCTGATTCCTTTTTGTCATTGGATGTTTGTTTTGTCGTGTGGTGATTGGTGTTTTGGTTATTGTGTTGCCACCAGATGGAAAGCCAGTTCTTGCTGTTACTGCATTTTTAGTAAAGGCAGTTTAATATCTACAAATATGCTTTTATGAGCTGAAAAAGTCAATGTTGTTTTGTATTCTGCTTTTAAGAAGCTGTTTGAACTGTAAACAGTATACATGCTAGTAGTATGAGGTATACCATAAGTTACTAATTTTTAAAAGAAGAAATTTCTGATTGAACTGTTTAAGAAAGCTGAGTGTAGTCTATTGTCATTTGTTATTTATTAAACTGCATAAAGTGTGTGTTGTAATAGGATTCTTAATGTTCAGCCATCGTAGTTGGATTGTCTGTATCTAACATGTGCATTTACCTGCTAGGATCATTAATATTCCATTTTTAAATGAATGTAAGGAAATGAATACTACTGCATTTGTGTCTTTGAAGGGAAAGGCCCTTGGATTTTAAAGGAAGATGATGTGCTTTGAAGGCACTAGACTAGTAAGAGTACCTGGCTGGAAGAGAAAACCATTCTCTTTTGATTATTACAGAGCATCGCTTAACTTGCAGTAGTTCTGTTACAGCATCAGACATGGTCTTTATTTTCACTTGTAATCACAGCCTTGGCAGCCGTTAATGGCTTTAAAATCCTCAAGTTGCTTTCACCTGTGCAATACCTAGAAGCCCTCAAACCTAACAGAAACACATCTATTATGAATATTGTCCCTTAGTATGCCATTTTAAAGAAAAATTTCCTCCACGATATTCAGTGTATCTATTCTGTTTGTCAGAGAACCATGTTAAGATGTGTCTGCCTCTAATGATGATAGATGGTTTTGTCTTTCAGGAGATTATCCACCTTCACTCTGCTCTCTTCTTTGCCTTAAAGGGACACTTTGGGGCTCTAATGTGGGGCTATTAAGAAATCACCTTTGTGATGTGATGAATTTATACTTTTTAAATTCAGTGGTGGGAGAGAACTGTGGAAGGGATTGAAATTGTTCCAATGATATGAGAACTAGGTGGCAAGATGATTCACTTTATTGTTTGAACCAAGGTCTATTTTGAGTTTTTATTATTTAAATAGACTAGAAACTAAGTTTGTGCAGGGATTGCTTTGAAATAAGAGAAATGCTAACCCACAGATGAGCTTTATTGATAGTACCCCTTTATTTTTATATAAAGTCTAATATTTGGAAATTGATCATTGTTATACTGTCATATTCTCTCTTCTATTCTAATATAAATTTCAGGCTTCTATTTGAAAACAAGTATAAGAGATAATACTATTAAGAGAATCCTATCAATACTGTTTTTGCTTGACCAACTTATATAATAACTGTATTTCATAATAACTGCTTTTGGAATAATACAAAGTTTTGTGAAATGCTGGCCTTGTGTATATCTTAGAATGCAAATTTAATAAAGTGTGTAAACATGCATTAAATTTAGTAATGTCTTTTTTTAAATATTTACTTATTTATTTGAAAGGCAGAGTTACACAGAAAAACAGAGTTACGCAGACAGAGAGAGAGATTATCCATCCACTGGTTCACTCCCCAAATGGCCACAAAGGCCAGAGCTGGGCCAGTCCGAAGCCAGGAGCCAGGAGCTTCTTCTAGGTCTCCCATGTGAGTACAGGGGCCCAAGCACTTGGACCATCTTCCACTGCTTTCCCAGGCCATTAGCAAAGAGCTAAATTGGAAGTGGAGCAGCTGGGACTCAAACTGGAGCCCATAAGGATGACAGCACCACAGGTGGCAGCTTTACGTGCTATGCCATAACACTGGCCCTTTTAGTAATGTCTTGAGTCTATGCTTTTTTTTTTAAGATTAATTCATTTTAAAGTCAGAGTTAGAATGAGAGATCTTCCATCTGCAGTTTCACTCTCCATATGGCTGCAACAGTTGGGACTGGGCCAGGCTGAAGCGAGGAGCCAGGAGCTTCTTCCGGATCTCCAACGTGGGTGGCAGGTCCCCAAGGACTTGGGCCATCTTTGGCAGCTTTCCCAAGTGCATTAGCAGGGAACTAGATAGGAAGTACAGCAGCCAGGATACAAACCAGAGGCCATGTGAGATTACCAGCATTGCAAGTGGCAGCCACAATGCTAAGCCACAATGCTGTCCCATCTTTTGTTCTTAATAGTTTGTTTTGTTTTTCATAGCCCAATAGTTAGTTCTCCGTGTCTAATGGTAGGTGAAGTTCTGAGTCAAAGGATATCGGGACCCCAAAAAAACCAATAGCTATATTGACATTTAGGCTGCTTCCCTCACCCAAAACAAACCTCTCTACATAGTCTGATTTCAAGAGTGTTTCACAGAATCTGACCATTTAGAAAGTCCTTGGCAGGCTCATATATGTTCTTCTGGTTTCACTTCATTTTATTTTATTGTTTATAAGCCTCTACAAATTATTTTTAGAACAAAATTAGGGAATGGTAAACAAGCGAAAATAAAGCCTTTTGCCTATCATCCAAGATACAAACATTAAATTTGATTTTCAGGTTTTTGGAAGTTTGTTTATTTGAAAGAATGACAGAGAAAGATGATCTGCTGGTTCACTCCCTGAATGGCCACAAATTCTGGACCAGGCTGAAGCCAGGAGTCCAGAACTCTAATCTGGATCTTTCACATGATGGGCACGGACCCAAGAACATGAGCCGTCACTTGCGGCCTCCCAGGGTGCACATTGACAGGAAGCAGAAGCAGAGCGGAACTCTGGCCCAGGCTCTGATACAGGGTGCAGGCATTCTTAAGCAGTGGCTTCATCCGCTGTGCCGCAACACCCACTCCTATTTTTCATTACAAATATATGACCTACTTTATTTTAGAAGGCTTTACATTTTGGAATAATTTTAGATTTACAACAGAGTTGCAAGAACGGCATATCCTTCACCCAGCTTCCGCAGTTAACATTTAACAACATTCTTTATCATTCTGTGTGTGTATGTGTATGTGTATGTGTTGTTTCTGAACCATCTGAGAATACTTTGCAGACATGATACCACATTACTGTCCCATGCTTCCGTGTAAGGCAAAGACATTTTACTTAACCACAATACAACCGATCAAAATCAGGAAACTGCCTTTGGAACAAAACAGCCATCCCATCTACAAACCCCATTCAAATTTTGACTGTGGTTCCAATGATGCTCTTTTAAGCAAAAGGAAAAGAAAGAAAAACATTCTTTGGTCCAGGAGTCAATTCAAGCTTATGTGTCACACTTAGTCATTTTGTGTCTTGACTCTCCCTCAGTCTGGCAGTTCTTCAGTTTTGTCTTTTGTGATCTTCATATTTTTGAAAAATACTGGCCAGTTATTTTGAAAAAAAAATTATTAAAGCCAGGCTTTTGAAATTTTGAGCAGAAATAACACAGAAGTGATGCTGTGTTCCCAATATGTCATTTCACAAGGTACATGTTGTCACTGTGTCTTCTTATTAGCGATGGTTGTCTTGATCCTGTGGTTAGGGTGGGGTCTGCCATGTTTTGCCGCTGTACAATTAGTCTTTTTGCCACTGAAATTCATCATTTGTGTGGAAACAACTTGGGACATAAATAACGTTTCCTCATCAAACTTTTCACCCTAGTTATAAAATCCATAGATGTTTCTTGCTTGATGGTATTATGCTGGCTGCCTAATTGTGACTTGCTAATTCCTTGTACATTTATTATTAGCTGGCATTCTGCTGTAAAGAAGAATTTTCCCTTCTCCATTGTTTGCATCAGTGTCTAGTTCTATTTTGGTTAGTGTGTTTTAATCTATTGCCATGATTATTATTATAGGTTGTCTCACATTTGGACAGTGAGCCCCTCCAGGCTCATTCCTGTGTCCTTTCAACAAATCCCTATATATATATATATATATATATTTTTTTTTTTTTTTACCAGCTTTGTACTTTCTGGAGCAAGATGTCCCAGATTCATTCTTTCCTTGCCCTAGCCCCTGGGATCAGTCATCTCTCTAAGGATCCCTAATACTTTTTTTTTAAGATTTATTTATTTATTTGAAAGAGTTAGAGATTTTCCATCTACTGGTTCACTCCCCAGATGACTTCAAGGGCCAGGGCTGGACCAAGCTGAAGCCAGGAGCTTCTTTCGGGTCTCCCACGTGGGTGGCAAGGTCCAAATGCTTGGGCAATCTTCCGCTGCTTTTCCCAGGCCATTAGCAGGGAGCTGGATCAGAAGTGGAACAGACAGGACTCCAGTGCCCATTTGGGATGGTGGTGTTGTAGGCAGTGGCTTTACCAGCTATACCACAATTCCATCCCTCCTAATTCCTTTAAATAGAGAATAGCATTTAAAAACCAAGGTGTGGGCATGGGGTATGATCATTGCTACTGGGGCATCATTATTTCAACTGTTTAGAGGCCCTCTCAGAGCACAGAGAAAACACATGTATTGGAGTACCTGTCCCCTGTAAATTTATACACACACACCTATATCTGTTTATTACACATCATGAGTCCCCTTCCAAATGAGTAAATAAAATGGGGGTGAGTGTTTGGCCTAGTGATTATGTTGTTGCTTGGGATGCCTACTCCATATAGAGTGCCTGGGTTCAAGTCCCAGCTGTACTCCTGTTTCCATTTTCCTACTAGAGCAGACCCTGGGAGGCAGCAAGTCATGTTTGCTACCCATGTGGGAGACCAAGATTGAGTTTCCAGCTCCTGGCTTTGGCCTAGGAAGTGAATCGGCAGATTGCTCTTGCTCTCTCTCAAATAAATAAATAGAGGCCGGCGTTGTGGTGTAGCAGGTAAAGCTGCTTCCTGCAATGCTAGCATCCAGTGTGGGTGCCAGTTTGTGCTCCAGCTGCTCCACTTCCAACCCAGCTCCCTAATAATGGCCTGGGAAAGCAATGAAGATGGCCCAAGTACCTGGGCCCCTGTCACCCACATGGCAGACCCAGAAGAAGCTCCTGGCTCCAGAGTTTGAGCAGGCTCAACCCAGGCCCTTGAAGCAATTTGGGGAGTGAACCCGTGGATGGAAGATATCTCTCTCCGGCTCTCTCTCTTTAACTCTGCCTTTCAAATAAATAAATCAATCTTTAAATAAATAAATAAATAAGTTCAGGCTAGCACCGCACCTCGGATTCCAGTTCAGCACAGGGTTCATTCCAACTTCCACCCTTACCCATATTTGTAACTTCTGGTAATGAAGAGCCTGGTTCCCTTTATCCTCTACATAATTAATTATTCCTTTTTTCCTGATATAACCAATTTCCTACCCTGCCATCTGCCACCACGGTTGCTTCCTTAAGCTCAACCATCTTTTTGGCTCTGACCAACCCTGCTGTCCCACCAGCCCCAGCTGCCCCTACAGGAAGAAGGGAAGAGGATCTAAATACTTCTGTTAAATATCTATGGTTCACACCCACGCAATCATCGCTCCCAAGCTCCTTTAGCTATATGTTGGACTGTTTACAGCTCAGGAATTTCTATTTTTTTAAATAATTTTTTAAATTTATTTGAAAGGCAGAATTACAGAGAGAGGGAGAGAAAGAGTAAGAGAGAGAGAGAGGTCTTCCATCCACTGGTTCACTCCCCAGTTGGCCGCAATGGCCGGAGCTGTGCCAATATGAAGCCAGGAGCCAGGAGCTGCTTCCGGGTCTCCCATGTGGGTACAGGGACCCAAGGACTTGGGCCATCTGCTACTGTTTTCCCAGGCCATAGCAGAGAGCTGGATCATAAGTGGAACAGCCAGGTCTCGAACCAGCGCCCATATGGGATGCCAGCGCTACAGGCTGAGGCTTTAACCCGGTACACCACAGTGCCAGCCGGCATTTCTTATATTCATTAATTGAACAAGTTTTTGTGGAGCCCTGTTTTAGGCCCAGAGGCCTTCAGTGAGACCAGCATGGTGGAACGGAGAAGTAGTCTGCATTAGAAGCCCAGATTAGAGTGTGGTGTGAGGACGAAGAAAGCAATGACATGGCCTGGGCTGTAATTCTAAAGTGCTTCTCAAGAGAGGTCACACAAGCTGGGTTTTGAAGAACAGCTTGAGGTGGAGATAGGAGTCAGGGAGAGGGAGCTCGGATGCACTCAAGAAGACACCAAGGCACTGCTATACAGACATACAAGTCATCTGCTGATGTTAGAAATGGGGCTGCGGCTGGCGCCGTGGCTCACTAGGCTAATCCTCCGCCTGCGGCGCCGGCACCCCGGGTTCTAGTCCCGGTCAGGGCGCTGGATTCTGTCCCAGTTGCCCCTCTTCCAGGCCAGCTCTCTGCTGTGGCCAGGGAGTGCAGCGGAGGATGGCCCAAGTGCTTGGGCCCTGCACCCCATGGGAGACCAGGAGAAGCACCTGGCTCCTGGCTTCGGATCAGCGCAGCACACCGGCTGTGGCGGCCATTTCGGGGGTGAACCCACGGAAGGAAGACCTTTCTCTCTGTCTCTCTCACTTTCTAACTCTGCCTGTCAAAAAAATAAATAAATAAATAAATAAAAAGA